CATGTGTACATGTATATCATGTATACATATATATATATACTGTGTATTGAAAATTTATTTAATTTATATTTTCATCTTATATATTTATGAAAAGATATCTACGTAGAATTTGAATATTTCTAAGTGGGATATATAAAGTATTGAATTATTGACTTGTATTATTTTATATGAAGGATTAATATAACAGATGATGTGATGAATCCGGTAAGTGTCAGCAATACAACGGGAAGTACACCACATATGTATATACGTACTTGTAATAATGGATGGAAAAAGAAAAACGCATACTTTAGTTTGCTTTCTTACATTGGGAGTATTGGTTACACCACTCTGATACCCAGACCCCTGGCTTTGGTTTCATTTACGTTATTGATTTTTATTATTGTAGCATTATCTTCTGGTTTAATTATTTATCAACATTATTTTTCTTCTCTGATATGCTTAAGAGATTCTAATTAAAAATTGTAAATGAGAATAGTAAAATTTTCTTATTAAAATATTAATTAATAAATAATATTGGTCTATAGGTTAAAAAAACATAAAATTATTATCAATTATACTGGTTATCAAAAAGGGAAAAATAATAATAAATTTCTACTATAACATATTTTAATTATTATAGTTGTTTTATATTTAAGAATTATACATTTAACATTAAGCCCATGCACATTGTACTTATATTGTTAGCATACATATATATAAATACACAAATATGGTTTAAGGACATTTGTAATACGTGTTGTTATTATTTTTATAGAACATAAAACATGAATAATTTTATTATTAAATATAATCTTATTAAACATTAAACATCCGAGTAAAGATATTTAATTCGGTATTTCTATAATACTATAATACTATATTCGATTATTAACGATTTCTAATTTTTTAAATTTTTAATTAAAATAAATAATAAATAGTTAATAATATCTAATTTTGAGTAAAAGATCATAGAAATTATATATATATTTACATAATGTAATCAAAATTTATTTCGCTTTTCATTTTTTATTACATATTATTTGAATATTATTATCCTTTATTTATCTAATAAATAAATCGTGATGTAACAATAATAAAAATAAAAAAAAAATAGATACAAAAAATTAATTATATAAGATATATTACATTTAACTTTAAAAGCCTTATTTAAATATTTATATTTAAAATATAATATCCTTTATTTTGTTAAAGATTCATATAATATATTCAAATAAGATAAGATAATACGATATATAATGTGATATATCGAATAAATAATACATCAAAAATCTTAAAATGAAAATATTAAATATATATATTTCGTAATTTTATCGCGAAATTAAATAAAATTTGATAATGTTTTAAAAAAAATATGAATAATGTTTTCATGATAACATTATCTCTTTTAATTTATTACATTATAATTTTAAAATCAAAATTTTTGATGATATTGTGATGATATTCTACTTACTTGATTCTTAATGATATTTTGTTATTTATCTATTATTTATATTGTAAAATTGTCACAATAACAGTGTATTTATTTATTATTATTATGAATTCTTTTAAATCACGATCTATCATTAATTTATTATTATTCATTTGTTTCAATTTATTTTTATATATAAAAAAATAATTAATTTTTAACAGATGATTTTTTCATTCTCTTTTTCTTATCTTTCTTTTCTATTCTTTTTCTTTTTTTTGAATTTCTCGATCTTTTAAAATCAGATTCTGCTTTAAATAGCATTTTTAATTAGCATTTTTTGTAACATATATATATATATACACATTTATATATATTCTTAAACAATTATATAACAAAATTTTTATAATTTTATTATCAATTCATTAATTCAATAGTTTCTTATAAAGAGGATAGTATACTAACGTTGATTGAATTCATCAACCAATAGTTGAAGTCGTGATGTATCACGTGATTTGGTTTGTTTATATTCGATGATTCGTGTAAGTGAACTTACTTATAGTTGGACGGATATTAGTAACTTGTACTTATTTTGATAAATAATATTTTACTTATTATTATAATATAATAATATTTTGATTGTCTTATGTATCTTTAAAATAATTAATAAATATCAATATTTGATAAATTTATTGCAAATGTGAATAAATTGTATATAAATAATTATATAGAAATGACAATTTATAAGATTCGATTAATTTTAACAGAAAAATTTGTTGTATCAAAAATTTCTTTTCTTACGCACACACGACAGTATCAATATTTATGAAAATCTGATTTTTATATTTTTATAAATTTGAAAAAATTTATCTACGATAAAAAGTGATTTTCATTTCATTAAGACCTTACAGACATTGATGAAACCATGGCTTACACAAAAATATCTAAAGTTAAAGAAGATGATGTTCTTGAATGTTTTCTTTATCCAAAAATTTGTTACACAAAGCCTTTAATAACCATAACAGAGGAAATTCTTATACAAGAAATTATAAAATTCAATGAAGAAATTGCATCATACATTGAAAATTATATTTGGCATAATGATAATTTGATTTTTCGTCCTAGAACAAAACAAGCATTATTATTAGAAAAACTCATTGAAAATTCTACAATTATAGAAGGTAAAATATTATATAATTTTATAAATTATTGATTTTAATCATTATATTATATTATTTTTATTTTTACAGAATGTAATATATTACCTCACATTTATGTACGTTTATGTTTTGATGAAGATATAACTGATGAATGGTTTACAGTTTTTTTAATATCTAAACTTACGCAAACATTTGATGGGTTGATCGCTAAAATTATAGACTCTGATGGTGAATTTCTTTTAATAGAAGCTGCAAATGTCTTACCCCCATGGGCTAATCCTGAAACATGTGAAAATCATGTATTTATGTATAATGGTGAATTGCATATTGTTCGCGATAAACATAAAACATTATTGGATTCATTAAATAATATTTGGGAGGAACCTTATCTATACAGGGCCCCTGAGAAAGTACAAGATGTATTAAGAAAGCGAATTAATACTTATCCTGATGAAATTAAAAAAAGAAATCATAAAGCTCGAGTTTTTTTATCAGAAAAAGCAATTTCAATACTTCAACAAGAACCAAGATTAGTTGCATTAGCTATTCGAACTATATGTCATTCTGATCCATTTGAAAGAAAAGTAAAAATTGAATTATTATTATCTTACTTTTTGTCCAAATAAATTTTATTTGTAATACATTAATTTATTATCATTAATTTTTATTTATTGTAGGTTTGTCGTGCCATGAGATATTTCCCTCCTGAACAACGTATTATGGTTAATATACGAATGACTAAATGTTTGTATGCGATGGCAAATCATTGTCGATATACAGGTGATCCAAGAACAGGCTGGAATATACCACCAATAACTTGTTCAAAGTATAAATCTCATATACTTGGAATTAAAATAGCATGTGGCTTAGAAATGTTAGTTGCTCGTGCAATTGAAGAACGTAGAAAAAAAGAAAAAACATCAGTTAATGATTCGGACAAATTAAAAGCAAATGATGATGTTTTAAATGCATATTTAAGTCGTTTAGAAATTAGTGGTTATTTTAGAAATTTGTTAAAAGGCAGCGAAGAATATGAAAAGCTCTTGAATGCAGCTAAAGATTATTATTTGAAGTATTTTAACTTATATAATTCTAATATCAAAAATAATAAAAGCGACGCTGAAAAAGTTTTAGAAGCATGGGAAAATATACAGACTAATGATATTGAATTGCATGGTAATCTTTTAAAATTAATGTTCATTTAATAACTTGTTAGTGTTTAATTGTTATTTTATATTGTATTTTGTATATTGTATATTGTAGTTCAAGATGAAGTTGCATTAAGTCCTGCAGATAGTGATAGTTGGTTAAATGTAGATCCAGTACAGTTAGAAACATTTTTAAACGAAAAATGGGGAAATGTTAAAAGCAAGAAATATGAACAAGAATCGTTAAGTGTTAAAGAAAAAGTACAGATGTTCTTGAATCAAAATAGTGATATTGATGGTGTACAATTTTTAGAGTATGTTATATATGTTAGAATTCTAATGATATTACAAAGAATGCTATATATATTATCTGTTTTCATTCTGTTTTTTCTTGTTTTCAGAGATTTTTCAGTTGAAACTGATATAATACACGACTCGGAAGATAATGGAAAAATTGAATTCGATGCGGACATATTTGACAGTACATTGCGAGGTATATTAGATTTAGTTGTTCCTGGAAATGAAGGAGAATTTGAAGGAAGTTCAGAAGGATCTTTAGGTGAAGACAATGAAGATAAAAGGAATGAAATGGATAAATATATGAGACTGTTAGATTCTCAATTGCAATCTGAAATAGAAAAAGATGAAAATTCTGAAATAAATAAAAATTCTGATGTCGTAGAAGATAATTTGATAAAAAGTATTACAGAAGAAGCAGGTGGTTCAGGTCCAACTGGAAATATAATAGGTGGATCTGCTCGACGACTTCTGCATTTACAATTACAATCGCCCACTACAGTACCTCCTGATTTACAAAGTTAATATTTTTATTTATATAATAATATATATCGAAAAATATGTTAATGATTGTTAATAGATTGAAATTCTCATTAATTATTTTATACGAAGTATACATATTTATTATTTGGAAAAATGAGAGAAGGAATTAAAATCAATAGTATCTTTAAATATAGATTAAAAAAGAAAAAAAAAAAAAAAAAAGAAAAAAAGGGGAGTAAATTTATATATTAATATAAAAGTATATATAACAACTCATAATTTAAATCATTTTTTTTTTTATAAAATAACATTTGTATGCTAATTTTGATTTCATTTATATTTCAGTCTTTTATTATACAAAAGTTTATTCAATTACAATATTAAATGAAATACATGAATATATATGCCTACTTGTGTATATATGTATGTACATATTAAAATATTATTATATTTTTATTTTACTCTGAAATATTACAAGAATTTGTTAATAATAACAAAAATTAATTATTTCAGTGATGGATTTAACCATTTTGGAATTTTATTTTTTTTTTCATTTAATAATTCATTATTAGTAGACGTATTAAATACTGATCTACTATTTGTAACATTATTTATATTCACATCTTCATTTATTGTTTTAGTTTCTTGATTTATCATTAATTTTCTAAAATAGAATAATATAATATATTAAAAAAAATTAATATTTATATTATAATAAATATAAATTATATCACTTACCTAGTTTTAGCCACTTGCAGTTCAACTTTTTTAGGATCTGTAAATTTTTGTTTCACATCCGATTTGAGAGTTGATGATCCAGAATAATGAATAATAGCACAGGGAACTAAGTTTTCATTAATTAAGTGAGAATTAGGATCCAAAATATGTTTTGGTGGTGTAGTAACTATTTAATAAGAAAAATATGTATTTTTAATTATAATAAATGCGTACATTCAGCATAATATATATTGTAGTATAATTTAAATCAGTTGAGATTAGTTTAATATATTAAAAAAAAATTATACTTATTATCATAAAAAAAAATATGTACTTATTATCATTAATTATGTAATTTATATATTTATATTACCTAATGTTATCAATAATTCTTTTTAAATTTTTCTAAAAAAAAATAAAATATAAAATTTAATTGGTTTAAAGAAAAATTATAAAGTGCCAGTTTTTATATGATAATTTACTTTTATAAATACAAAGTTTATTCTATTATTATTTTAAATCTTTCTAAAAGCATATGTGATGTTTCATGTATCTGCGGAAAAAGTATCGGATATAGATAATGATGATTAATGATACATGAAAATAATAAAAAGAAATTTTTTTTAAATATTAAATACAAAATATTAAGGAACAGCTTTAAAGAATTGATTCTAAATATTAGAAACAATAAATAATAGTTGATGTACAAAAATATTAATTGGATCTTATTTATAATTTGAAAAATAATTTATTTATACATATATGTGTGTGTGTGTGTGTGTGTGTGTGTATAAATTAATTTATTTAATTTAATTTTTTTAATGCAATATTATTTCTTCTTAAGAATCTCTGCATTATTTTGTTTACACATATGAAATATTATTTTTACTTACAGATTATAAAATCACTATTTTCATCAGTTAAATAACATTTTATAAAGTCTTTAATCGCTTGTACAGTTTCCATTGGTTGAAATAAACCTTGGAGGACAAATTGATCTGGAAATTGTATACGGATTATCGTGTAATGATATTTATTTAATTGATTTAATATTTGTTTTTTTTGATTCGACTGTCGTTGAACATTTGTTAAAAGAGGTGCTTCTTCCAGTTCTTTTCTATAACGTTTAGCATCTCTTAATAATATTTTTGCATCATCAACTGTTAAATCATAAAAATCATCTGGTAATTCATCTCTGAACGTTCCTTGAATTGTAGCCTGATTAAATACTAAAGCATTTCTTTCACCTAACTACAACAAAAAAAGATTGTATATTTTGTATTAAAAAAAAAAAAAAAAGGAATTTATATATCTTACAAATCTTACAAATTCTATATTATTTAAATCATCTGATTCACGTTTACTGCACGATTGCATTAAAATTTGGTTTCCAACATAGTTATCAGTACTAGTTGATGGTACTATTTTATCTTCTTTTTGCTCTTTTATTATTTCTTTTGTTTTTTTTTCCATATTTTGAGAACATACTACTAATTCTTTTATTTTTTGCATTTCTTGATTTGTAGATACATTAGATACTTGATTAGAATTTGATGGTAATAAATAATCATTTTTAGAATTTTTTTTATCAATATCAATGTTTTTATTAACCGTTTTTAATGTTGTTGAAGTAACACTATCTATGTTTTTGGGATTTCTATGTCCCAGCCGTAAAATAGCTTTACCATTATTGATTCCTAATAACTTTAAAGTTGTATTTTTTAAAGCTTCTGTTCCAGAAATCTGCAAAAATCAATAAATAACATTAAATTGATTTGATACATTTTCTTGATTTCATTTCAAATTAATGATTACTAATATATAAAATAATAAATATTATCTTTAGATACTATCAAAAATTAATAATAAATAATACATATATTAAGGCAAAGATATAAATATAATTATAATATAAAAATCAGTTCAAATAAAACACAAATTTATATAAAAGTTATTAATATTGATATTGATTAACTTTTTCTCAATATAAACTTGATTATTAAAATAATAGTATTAACAATAATATATATATATATATATATATATATATATATATATTCATACCTCACGATGCATATAAATCAATGTAACTTTTTCAAAATCCTCATTGACATTTAAATTTTTTAAAATTTCAGCTAATGTTATATTAGGCATAAATTCACTCATCAATCTTTCTCCATTTTCTAATTGTATACCTATTACAACAGTGGAAGTAGAACGTATTTTTGTACAAGGAATCATTTCTAATTGTGCATTATTTGCCAATCCGGTAAAACGTAATATAGCATTAGGATCTAATACATGATTGAAATGCCTATACATTAAATATATTTAATTAAACATTTTATCTTGACACTTTACACTGTTTTATTTTTATTTTATTTTTAAATAAAAATACTTGCTTAAGATCATAATTATCCACATTATATCCATGCTTTTGACAAACCTCTTCCAGTATCTAGAAAAAAATATTTCAATTAATATTAATATGAAATTAAAAAATATCTATATAAATAATTTATTAATAACTTTACTGCATACTTGTAATATTGTAGTATTTGGAGTTACCGCAACATTTTGCCGACGACCGTTTGGTACAAGAACTATAACGTTTTTATTTGTAGCCATAATTTCGTGTATTTGCTATAGTTTATAAAAGATAATTCTTTATAGCAATTGTTTTAATTATATGAATATTTATGAAATTGATGAAATTTCAAAATAAAACGTAAAACAAGGAAGGAAATCATTGTAATAAATAAAAATAATTTGAAAATATTCAAATATCATATTTATATTCAATATGTATATTTTAATGTCAAGAAAATATTAAATATTATAAATATTTTTCAATATTATATGTTTAAAAATTGACAATTAATAGTAATGATAGGTTAAATGGTAATAATAATGATATGATATATGTATTTGTAATATCTACTTACAGAAGAATAGAATATATAATAAATCGAATAATAAAAAAATATTTTTTATTTATAGAAATTTATTATGATATCTTATATTATGATATCTTAAATATGAAATTGTTCATGCATACGTTAATATATATATAATATATAACTTTGTATGTATATATATAAGTAATCATTTTGCATACAAAGGTTATGTAGGTATTAACGATAGCGCATTCTACAATTTATAATATATTATAAAATATAGAATATAATTTACATAATTAAATATTACATAATAATATAATTTAAAATATGAAAAAAAAAATATATATATTAGAAAGAAAAACTAATAAGAATTAAAAGTTTAAAATAATAAATTTATTATTGTATATATTTATTATTATTTTTTGAAATATATATATTTAAGAATATTAATAAAATATAAAAATATGAAATATAAATATAAATGTATAGTAGTAAATAAAATGAAATATTAAAGAATATATGTATAATAAAAAAAAATTTATGTCAATAAATTTTATATCACATAATGATTTATTACAAATATATATATTACAAATATATACAAATACATATATAAATACATGATAAATACATATATGTACACGTCTTTATATATATTGTTGGAAATTGAACAATTGACAAAAGATTTATGAAAATAAATTATAAAAAAAAAAAAGATTATTGATTTTCACAATTATAAATAAGATCATATAATATTGATTAACATAATTTTATATATAATTTTATATATAATTATAAAATTATATTAAATTAATTACAATAATCTATTTTTATATTATATTTTTAATTGGTGTTTTTTGTAAGATTTTGATCTTGAGATATACAAAAATTTACAGTTAAAATATACATATTATTATATTATATATATATATATATATTTAATTTTCGCGCATGAAATAAATAAAAAATCATGCTGTTCCAGCCAATCAGAAAAATGCTAAAATTTAACGGCGAGATGAATTAATGCGCATCTAAATGCGCATGTCATCAGTGTGCAATTGAAAATTGTGATGATCAGTCACGTTTTATCGATAGAAATGTGTAATTATGTAAAATATTTATTTTATATTGTATAAAGTATTGTATTATAGTTATTAAGTTTAATTATAGATTATTAAGTTTTGTTTAAATAATTGTTCATTTAGTCATTATACGAGAATTGAATTTTTATAACACATTGTCGTTTGATTGAAATTTGGAAGATGGAATATCTTTGAAAATGTTATAAATGTATCTTATACGCATCACTAATTAATATATATATAATTATGAGATAATTTGATAATTCGATCATATTAATGTGATAAAAAAAATTTGATTTATTTTTTTATAACAAAATTATTATAAATTTCTTTATTCCTTTTATTTATATGGAAATAGTTATATGGAAATAGCTAGATCGTTCACACACGTATATTACATATATTTTAATATTAAAATTTTTTTTTTCCAAATATATCTATTCTATATTTAATTCGTATTTTATTATTTTTGTATCTATTTTATTAGTATCTATATTATTGGAGCTCAAAACTCCAAAAATATATTTTATAATTGAGCCTTTGAAAAAATAGACAAATAGATAAATAGACAAAAAATAGAGAAATAGACAATTCATGTTCACGCTATGCTCGATTTGAATTATTTATTCAATATTATTATAAGTGATAATTCTTTCAAGAATAGTTTATTCTTTTTTTTTATTCATTTTCATTATTTGAATTAGATTATTGTTTTATTTTAATATAAAAACCAATTTAATTTTATATTATTTATTCTATGAATTAAAAAATTTATAAAATTTGATTTCTTTTTGCTCAGATAATTGATTGTTAAGATTATTTTAGACAAGAAAAAAAGGATTTTCGATATGAACAGCATGATAACAGTTTATATTTTATGGAAAGATAAAATTATCTATATCGGGAAAATAGATATGTAAGTATTTTTATAATTTTGTTTTTTTTTTTGAATAATTAATTCTGTAATATGTATATATATAGTTTTTATGTAATTCATAATATTGATTATTGAAAATATGTAAGTTCAAAAGGTAGAAAAAACTATTGCTACTATTAAGATTTCTATTTAAGATTTCTAAGATTTCTTAGAATTTTTGAATTTTGAATTTTCTATATTTTGAAAAAATTTTTGAATATAATATTTCTAATATGTAATAATATGAATATTATTAATTCGAATGAATGAAATTTACAATATAATTTTTAAAAAAATTTTTTAATAATATCTTTTTTAATAAATGCTCAATAGAAAAAGAGAAAGAAAACAACATATATTGTTTTTATTTTTACATTCCTTTCTTTCTACTAATATAATTTTATTTTCAGATTATTATGACTATGGTATCACAATATCTGCTTCGTTATGATATTTTCCGTTTTTTTGTATTATCTTTAATAATATTTAATAACAATAATCGCAAAATTAGAATCAGTGCTTGTTCATCGATTGAAGAAGGTAAATGAATGCGTTAATAATAATAGTTTCTTATTTTTATTTTTTTACTTTAAATATTTACTTTCGATACAGGATAGAGTAAGTGCTTCACTCAAGAGAATAAAGTAATAATTGATTACGCGAAAAGGTAATTATTTTTTTTTTCTATTTAAATTTTTATTCTGCAATTAAAAAATTTGTATTTTTAAATTTCAAGTTTTTATTCGATGATTTCAAAACCTTGAATTTTTATTATTATTTTATTTTACCTTATTAAAAATTTCAATCTTTATCATCATATTTATAATAAACTATAATGTATCATTTTTTCTTACATTACATTACATTATATCCCAGTATTCTGTACGAATGATTACTTCACGATAGCAATGCAGATTCTTCGCATCTAATGGTAAATTGCATGCATTTCGGTTCTTCCGCTCACTCAATCATGTCATAGAACGAAAATTCAAAATCGACACGAATTGATTGGTTATATTTACGTAGAATTTTTCACGAGCATAATGATCACGGATATTTATTATATCCATTAGTAGTAACATTTTTTTTTTTTTGTTTATTAGCTCAGGTATAAGTTTTCTTATACATTGCTTTACTTTATAAATATTTATATAATCTTATATAATATTATAATATTCTAAATAAATAATCTTTCAAGTTAGTTATAACTATAAAATTAAATTATTGTATAAATATTCGTATCTGAATTGCAGACAAAATATTTGAATAAATAATAAATAAATTTTTTTTTTTATTTCTATTTATATTAACATATATAATAATTTTAAAACGATTTTGTTACTTGGTTATCCAAATAATAAAGTTAATAGTTTTATTTCTTTCGTTTAAAAATATTACATGTAAAAAGAACATTTCGTGATCGATAGACAAATTTTGAATATTTGTTTTGTATTTTTGAAAATTTGTTTTGATGGAGAAATCACAAAAGGATATTTTCATTAATATTTAACTTTAAGTCAATTCATTGAATTTCATTTTAATAATTTTTTTTAATAAATATATTCTTTTCTAATTAGTGATTCTTTT